ACTTTAGTCACGTTTGTAGTAAAACAAAATTCCCGAGTTTGTTTTTTAGCGGTTTCTGGTCTTGTCCACAGAATATTTATTCGATTCCCCATGAAAAGATTCTAGCGATGGACGGAAGATGCCTTCTTACTAGATGACGAAAACAAAATATTGATTTAAAGAGTAACAATGAAAAGAGACTAACAAAAAAGAATTCGACTTTCCGTGACCAAAAAAAAAAAAAAGTCGACTTTCTCTTCGAATCAAAGACTTTCTCACCACTGGAATGATGTCATCCCTGACGCGCTCGCTTCTTCCTCTACAATCCAAATATCACTTCACCATTAACTAATACTATTTATATCTAAATGAAACAGCCAAACCGAAAGAAACTAAAGCAATAAAAAAATGTTTCAAAACTGTACTAAAAAAAAAGAAATAAAAAATTTACCAGAAATACATGGTTAAAGCTATACAAATTTTCTTTCTATTTTGTTTTATTCCCTTTTCCGCAGCATCACACTTTCAAATTGATTTGTTGACAAATAACTGAATTTACTTTGTATAGCCAAAATATAATTTGTACACATAGTATATTGATTTTTAATTTGTAATTTTGTATAAACACTCTAAGCTCTGCTATATTTTTTTTTTCATTAATTACTAAATAAAACAACCAAAAGAATTGTGAAAAAGAGACTTATCGTCTCTTTCTCTTCTCTCTCAAAGAAAACCGCCGTTCCCTTTGATTTCTCAGATCTGGCCGATGGCTCCATCAGCATCGCCGCCGTCTCTCCCTTGTTTTTAGATTTTTACTTCGTGTCTTGCTTGTTTTAGATTCCAATCGATTCTCTTCTTYTCGGGATGGCTTCGGCTCTTGACGCTTTAGGTTTGTTGTGGTTAGAGATGCGATTCCGGTTGTGTCTCTGATTGTGCAAGTGGTGGTGACGGCGCTGATTTCGTGGTTATGATTCCAGACTTCTGGTTTTGAGTCATCTGTATTGGCTTTGTTTGACTGGGCTTAGATTGGATCTCAGATCTAGTCTTGTTTACATCTTTCTATGTTTGAGGTCTGTCTTTGGGCTCTCTCCTTCTAACCTGTTCCGATCTTTTCAGTCGATGGAGGAAGCTCTCAATTTTGTCGTGGATGAGTTGTCGAGATGTATTCTTGGTGTCTCTTGCAGCTCTGGGCTAGCACTGCCTGTGTATCGGTTGTGGTCATTGCTGTTTTGTCTTTTTGAACATCGATTGTGATTATTTATTTCTGGTTAGTTTGTTTGGGTTTTACACCTTATGAGTGGGCTGCTAGTGTATCAACGTAGATGTTGGACGTTAGAGTTCATGTGGATGGTAGATCCTGCACAGTTAGATTTGTCAAGGGTTGCAAGAGGATTGAGTCTTCCAAGTACGAAATCACATAACAAGAGGTTGAAGATTAGTTTTTATTGCTGTTCTCGTTAACCTTTCAAAGTACAATCGTTTCTGTATAAAGAATTGTCCATCCCTTTCTCAAGAGAAATACAGTGATATATATAGTAAACTAGGTCGTCTAGGTCAACCTTAGAGTCGGCTACACAAGTGGGCTGCGCCGACCTGCTCGGCCCATCTTGTCGTGTCTTGGGCTTGGCCCGCCTTGTCACGTTCTGGGCTTTGCCTCGTAACGGGCCTGCCTTGTGGGTTTCTTGGTTATGTCAGTCCATTTCTCTATTGCAGACTTGTCCTTCCCGCCTGGTTACGTTTCTGGTCTCACCAAGCTTGCCGTTTGTTCACGATTGCGCACTCTGCCTCGCCGTACATGTCGCCTTGGCACGCAATCTATCTTGCTAGACTAGTCTGCTCGTCACCCAGTCCGTCAAGCCAGACAGGTTATCTCGTCACCCAGTCAGGCTATCGCCTTGTCACCCAGTCTATCTTGCCAGACAGGTCGTTTCGTCACCCAGTATGGCTATCACCTTGTCACCCAGTCTGTCATGCCATATAGGTTGTTTCGTCACCTAGTTTGGCTGTCACCTCGTCACCCAGGGTTCACTCAGTCATCCTTCACCCAATTTCCTTACTTAGCCAATTTCTGCTTTGATCTTACCGGGTAGAATCCGACCCTTACAGTTAGCCCCCAACTCGGTAGTATCAAGTATGATCGTACCGAGTTAAGAATTGTTGCAAGGGTAAGATCAAAGCTTCTGCCTACTCGCTCCAGGGTGACTTTTCAAAAATCGCGACTTGATTTGAATGTTCGCGTCTATTTGAGCTCAAGTTATTATGCCAACCTAGCTCAAATTAAACGCTGCATTAGTAACACCAAGTGACCCCATAGTGTTTCGACCTCGCCTCGTCATGGTTTGAAAAAGTTTTTTTTAAAACACTCTTTCCTGCCGCTGCCGCCATCGCCATCAAGTTCCACGACGAGGTCGCCTGATGAGTCAAAGTGATGACTAGGTGAAGTAGATTTCTAGTGAGGTATAGCAATAGTCACGAGGTCGGTTGAGATCATGCTCGGTGAGGTTTCAAAATGGAACCAAGACAGAGTGTGTCAGTGGAGAAAAAGATTCAAGCCGACGAGGTGGAGAGAGAGACGACACCGAGGTGAAGAGAGAGGCGACACCGAGGTGAGTGGAGAGAGGCGACACGGAGGCGAGTGGAGAGAGGTGACGGAGGTTGTGACGAGGTGTGTTAGGCGACATGCCAAAGTGATTGACGAGGGAAATTGGAGAATGAAAAGGTGAAGCTTGGTGGAGTCGATTCAGAGTGAAACCGAGGTGCACTCGACACCATGGTTTACTTGCAGCGGCGTCGAGGTGAATCTTGTAACATGGTGAAGTTGATTTTTGACATGAATTACCGCGGCTGAGGTGGGTTGACTTAAAATCGAGGATCATCCATTGCAAGGAGGTGAGGCACTGCCGAGGTGGATTTACTCGAGATAAAAAGCGTCTGTTGCAAGGAGGCGATGCATTGCCGAGGCAAAGAGGTAGACTTGTGGAATTGTAACCGAGGTAAGCCTCCATAGACGCCGAGGTGGTTTGAGAGTATGCCGAAGCGAATAGAGCAGCCGCTGAGGTGGAGTTCACCGTGGATGGTTTTGTCGTTGTGGACGCGGTGGTTTTTTTAGCCTTGTTTATCTTGAATTCCGGTTATGAGGTGATCGCTACAAGGTGAACCCGAGGTGGACTTGACACCGTAGTGATGCCAAGGTGAAATTGCCAGCGTGGTGGAAAGGAAAGAATGAAGCCGAGGTGACTTCGCTGTCGCGACACCGAGGACGATTCCATTGTTTATGTTGATCTTTGAGGTTGTCTAACGAGGTGAAGTTCAACAGGTGATGAGGTAGTCCATTATGAGTATGATGCTGGTAGCGTGACGTACCAAGTCTCTTTTGATGTAGTGATTGACGAGAATCTAGACGAGGCATAGAAGTTATTTTGTTTAGTATTTTTCTTTTTTGCTGAATTTTTGATTATCACTTTGATTTGCAGGAAAGTCGCCTTTGACACACCCTATACAAAATGAATATGCTCTAGTGTCAAGACCAACAATCTCTTTGTTGGGTTTTAGGTGAACATTTTTGGTGTACGGTCAATTCGCCATTGACACAGCCGCTCGACAAATGGATATGCTTTTTCGATGAGGCTAAGAACTTGTCTGTTAGGTTTTCAGATGATCAATTTGGTTTATGGGCGAGTCGACTTTTATATGCTCGCTCCAAAAATGAACATGTTACGTGATTAAGACCAATGTCTTGCTTATTGGATTTTCTAATGAACATATTTGGTTTACAGACGAGTTTTTTTTTTAACGAGTCCGCTCCATAAATGAACATGTTATAGCGTTGCGACCAACGATTTTGTTGTTGGGTTTAGAATGATCATTTCGGTTTACAAAAATGTTTTCAATAGACATCTCCGCTCTTATAATGAACATATAGTGATATAACCAGCGATTTGCTTGGTGGGTTTAGAATGAATATTTTGGATTAGGCGTGTGTTACTCTTTGAACACAACCGCTCGATAATGGTCATATATAAATTTGTATAGCGCGCTTTGAAATCCTGCTAAATATGTAATAGTCAGATCTGAAGTATATGTAAGAGTTCGTTACTGTGGCCAGCAGCAACATGAGTGAAATGAGATGTCTCTTTTGTTAAGACTTTAGTAATCCYTATAGAATGTGATTGAGATGTCTGATTTGTGAAGGCTTTAGTAATCCATAAAGGATATGAGTAGGATGCATGTTTTGGTAAGGCTTTAGTAATCCGAAAAGGATGTCATTTGATGACTTTCGTTTTGAAAATTTGCTTTAATTAGACGTAGAGTCTATT